TGGGAGCGATTTTCGATAAGTGGTCATTATCATATAAAAAAGTGCAACGACATAATTTCAATGCCCTTTTACCTAGGATGGAGGTGCTCGATCGAAAATCGCTCCCATATAAACACACGTCAACATTTTATCTTTAAAACGAGCACTCGTTGAGCTCGATCGGTTGAGAAATACGCTCAAAATCGTTGTTACGGTTAACGCGGCCTTAAAATAACGCACGCACCGTCCACCCCGAAGCGAGGCTCGCCATTCACGAAACCCCGTGCCGAAGAAGTCAAGGATTAGTCTTATCTCCTTTTCTTACAAACTATTATATCGACGCGTTTATATATAAACACGCGAGGGACTTTTCCTTTTTTTCCCCTCTTTGACTCCAGACGGGAATTGCACTTCGCCAACTTTACGAGGTACTCGCCAAGAGACTCGCCGGAGCGAGGATTTCCTCAGGGCGAACTTCGGGAGGGCTACTTAACACCTAGTAAAACCGCACCGCGGTTTCCGCGCCGCCTCCGATTTCCGGAAATCGAATAAACCCTGGAAAAGGGTACCGAGAGTCCCCTCGTAAAGCGTCTCTCGTCGCGGTCCCAAAATCTCGTATGACATTCTTGGAACGTTTCCTTACAAACCACTTTAAGTTTCGTGCGAAAGAAAAATTTTTTTCTTCCGAACCAAAATTTCTTCCTCTCTCCCTCGACCTTAAAAAGTATCTTCTTTACCGACGTCGATCAAGTTCCGCGAGGTGTTTCACTTCACCTTAAGGTATGAAACGGTTTGAGACACCCGGTTCTATGAAAAATTTTATGAACGATTGGGCTTTCGGATGCCACTTTCACATCCCCTTAAGGTGAAGTGAAACTCCTTTCAAATCAGCCGATTCGAATACAACAGTTTTTTTTAAGGGTATTAGACCAAATTGTCCAAAACTTTGACACATCACTCCTGATCGTCTAAGAATTGTCCTGACACATTGAAAATTTGGATTTTTCAAAACAATTTTTTAACTCAGTCCAGACCAGAACCAAAATGGCGTCGAGCTCTGATATCTCGATCGATATACAATTATCGAAGGCTCTGATATGAGAATCGAAAGGGTCAGGACAATTGTACGACAATTTAGAACACTCCGGTAATCGATAAACTCGCATTTGAACGGGATAAAGGCAAAAAAAGTGTTGTATGCGCTTCTATGCTAAAACGATGGTAATACGAGGTCTCGGAGTGAAAATTTAATTGGCCTGGAAATCACAGATGGCGCAAGGGGTCCCTCCGCAGTCAATTAGGGCCCCAGAAGGCACGAGATTTCTTGACATTTATTATACGAAAACGACAAGTGTAGTATGCCATTTGGTACAATACCCAATATAATTCGACCCAGCTGTCAATATAAAAACCAACGTCGGCAACGTAGGCATTTAGAAAAATCTTTATCGACGTTGATCAAGTTTCTCGACGTGTTTCACATCCCCTTAAGGAATCGCCGATCTCGAGACTCCTTCGGTCAAGGATGAACGGCGACGCAGCATCCGCTGGACCTCGGTGGCGTCGACAGGGGGCAATATTTATAGTCCGTCAAATCTTAGCCTTCCTCGGCCAGGACTCGGAGGCTCGCAAGACATCCGAATTGGCCAATGGAGGGATTCCTGGCCCCTTGGCTCGCGGACGCGCGAGGTTTAACTTTAGACTCCTCTCTCGGGGCGCCCAATTAAAGCGGACGGCGACGTCGTCGACGCGCTAACGAGCCGTCGAATATAACGCCCTGAGCCGGCATCGTTGATTAGCCGGTGTCTAGGCCATTACGGCCGCTTTATATCGATCTCTCGCGACCCTGGCCAGCTAATTTGCGAGGTCGATCGCCCGAGCCGCGCAGACTCGGGCCCTCTCGCTCGTAGAGAAGGAAACTCGGAATTCCTCTCCTAGAAGAAGCTCCCGACCACCTGTGCGGAACTGAAAATCCACACATTGTATTTTAAGGTGAAGTGAAACACGTTAAGAAATTCGATTCTCATATCAGAGCCTTCGATAATTGTATACTGATCGAAATACGAGAGCTCGACGCCATTTTGGTTCTGGTCTGGACTGAGTTAAAAAATTTTTTTGAAAAATCCAAATTTTGAATGTGTCAGGACAATTCTTAGATGATCAGGAGTGATGTGTCAAGGTTTCGGACAGTTTGGTCTTTTACCCTTAAAAAAAAGTGTTGTATTCGAATCGACTGATTTGAAGGGGGTTTCACTTCACCTTAAGAATCCAAATTTTCAATGTGTCAGGACAATTCTTAGATGATCAGGAGTGGCGTGTCAAGGTTTCGGACAGTTTGGTCTAATACCCTTAAAAAAAAGTATTGTATTCGAATCGACTGATTTGAAGGGGGTTTCACTTCACCTTAAAAATCCAAATTTTCAATCTGTCAGGACAATTCTTAGATGATCAGGAGTGATGTGTCAAAGTTTCGGACAGTTTGGTCTAATACCTTTAAAAAAAAGTGTTGTATTCGAATCGACTGATTTGAAGGGGGTTTCACTTCACCTTAAAAATCCAAATTTTCAATGTGTCAGGACAATTCTTAGGTGATCAGGAGTGATGTGTCAAGGTTTCGGACAGTTTGGTCTAATACCCTTAAAAAAAAGCGTTGTATTCGAATCGACTGATTTGAAGGGGGTTTCACTTCACCTTAACGCCCGAACACCTTCTAAAGCATTTTCACCTATGTATCTTGATACCTTTTGCGGTATTTCTGTTAATCCAGGAAGAGGAAATATATTCCGCCGAATGGAGTCGCATGGACCAGGATCCCCCACGCGTCCTTCTGGCGCCTCCTCGGGGAGGCTCGACAAAAGGCTTGGCAGAATTTCCTTGAGTTTCTCCCTCGATTGGGAATTCCTGGTGCGTGTGCCGAGAGACGCAGGAGTTTCGCCGATCGCCTCGAAATCCACTCTCTTGTCTCTCTCTCTCTCTTTTTTTTTTTTCTTCCTGCCGCATTGCTGCCAGCAACGTGAGCGTTTTATTATCCCGCGAGAAGCCCCGAGCTAAATGCTGAATCCTCCCTGTTAGTGGTCATCTCTTGTCTAGCTTTATCTCGTCCGACCTTGTGGAGGTACTCCTGAATTTTTTCGATAATTTTTTTTTTTTTTTTTCGATAATGTCTTATGCTGCATCTAACGTTAACTTCGTCCTCGCGAATGTTAGCGATCAATTAGAATATTTCGCATCGCCTTTGATATTAACTTTGCCCTCGGGAATTTTTCCATTAACATTGGAATATTTCGTATCTTTTCTGGAATTAATTTTCGATCCGGAAATTTCTGCGATCGTTTCGAGTATTTTATCCTCCTAGTCTTAGTAATTTTTTACATCCCAGATATACGACCCTCCCCTCCCTCGAGGGTCAAGAGGCGCTCCTTCTTCACCCTCCTCTCTTTACCCCGAAAAATTAAGGAGCGATCGTTATATGCATGCGGTAATTACGACAAGGTATTGACAGACACGCGAACGCTAACGAGGGCTCGTCAATCGATAGCTGGTATATTTTTAAAGTCTAATGAGTTTTGCAAGACGACCGGCGCATGCTCCATCTTACGAATTGTGCCAGAACAAGAGCAATTAGAGGTGCAACATTGACCTCGATGTCAAACTCGATAACGAGTAAATTAAAACCGTCATCTTCGACGATACAACTTTATACGATATTAAATTAATTATTACACGATCATGAATTAAAAATAGACCAAGAGGGGACATCTTCTCTGGGTGATCGCTGATCAATGAAACATTCCATCCAATTATTAATTCCTATTATAAGTGCGTTTTATCATTTGGTCTCATATAGGTCATCATCTTCCCTACCTGATCGCTATTCGATTAAGGTATCCTCTACGTGCCATACCCCATAACATCTCGTATATAGTCACGCACCTCGGTGCGTGCGTCCCGCGTAAATCGGTATTCGAAATTAAATTCCGAACCGCTGATTAACTTGCAAATCGCGGCCAGCAGGACCCTCCTCGGTCGCGACAGGAATCTGGTATCGCGGGGGCGTCGCCGCGATTTCCAGTCGGCTCATGGAATCGCTAACCGATCATAAAAACGATCATAGGGGGAGTCGATAATGTTTAGGAAACGATTCGAGAAATTTCGGGGAACGGGGTTATTGGTATGCGGAGTGCCGACGGCAATACAATGGCGATATACGCATGGGCGAAATTCGGGTACTGCGTCCTGCGGCAAATTGGGAGGGGAGGGGAGGGGCGATTAAAAAGCGGCCAGGTGCGAGGGGGTGAGCGGTGGGGAGGCCTCTCCTCCCCGACCCGTCCGCTCGGGTCGAGCGCGCGGCCGCGACTGGCGACCTCGGGGTGCGCGGCGGGATCCAAGATGGCGGCCGCGTGGGCGGGTGTCGGGCGTGACGTCATTGGTCGACTCGCCGCCAACCGTCAGTCGCGCCGCCGCCGCCGGCCACGCCTCGACCCTCCGCGCGCGCCAGGGGGGACCTCGATTTAAAAGCTCCGCAAGCTTCGCCGCCAGTTCGCCCTCGACCGCCACGAGCCGAGGAGGTGCGACCCACGCCGAACGCTCTTCGGGATGGAGCCTCGACTCGAGGGCCAGTGATCGCGAACACGTGCTCCGGATACCGGTGGGAGGTTTTAGGGGCTTTTAAGGTACATTTGGATATTATCAGGTTATAGATAGGAGAGGTTAGTGAAACCTTACAGGTTAGAGTGCCGAAGAGATTTAAAATTCCCAGGGGATGTTTCGAGCCCTGGAGGTGTGACATTTATACCGAGAAGTTTTGGAGGTTAGGACCTTCGTGGATGACGAGGTTCTCGGATAACAGGGCTCGTGAATGACAAGGTACATGGACGCGGAAGTGGGGGAATGGACGGATAACCTTTGGAGGGTGATCGACTTTGGTGAATGTTGTGAACTTTCGACGAGCCCGGGAACGGAAGAGGAGTTTCCTCGGCAAGTTTTGACACGTTTTTCGGAGCCAATTTAAATTATTAGCGATGGATTCCCCGGTGGAGGAGACGGAGCTGGACGTGGGGTCGGCGAGCGACGAGGTGGAGTCCGTCGAACCCAGGGCGAAGCCGACCCCCAGGCCGTTCACTATAGAGAGTCTCATCGGCACCATGGGCCAGGGCGAGACGCCGGCGAGGAGTAACCTCGAGGACGAGAAAACCGGAAACGAAGAGGCGGAGAGAGACAGAGAGCTTCTTTATCAGCAGCATTGTCTGGCCACGGCGACCAGTGCTCTGCCAGGTTAGTTCTGATTTAATCGTTGAATTTGGAAAATTAAATTAATTTTTTAACAGGGGCGGGTAGTCATTATTAACGATTCATTTCCAGGGTTTGCCATGCCTCTTGGACTGTATGGAGCGTGGTTGCCGATGAGGATGTACGGTGGAGGCGCACCTGGGGGACCCATCGTCCCCCCTCACCTCTCGGCCACCTATCCTTCGCACCAGAACCACCAGAATCATCTGTCTCATCATCCAGGGATTGGGTTGAACCATCTTCAAGGTGCCGCGTACCCTGGACACCTTGGCAGCCAGGTGGCAACCAATCTGACCGACAGCGACGACGACGGAAGCTTGTCGCCGGCGTCGCCGGTTCACGACCTCTCCAAAGGCCAGCACGGTGAGTGGGATTTTTATTTTTATTTCTTCCTTTCCATGAAACCTCCAAAAGCACGGCAAGGGGACATTTTAGAGATCCGCCACCTCAAAAAGTCGGTACGGGGGACGCACGTTAAAAGAAAAAAAAAAGTATTCCCGACTTCCGAAAGATCGGCGAATTGTAGGGAATTTTTGGCAACCTCTAAAAGCCAGGACAATAAGCCCAAATTTCCAAAAGAAATTCATAACCTCTCCGAAGGTTAGCACAGTGAGCGCAAATTTAAAAAATAAATTTGCAACCTCTCCTAAAGTCGGAATCTTTTAAGGTGAAGTGAAACCCCCTTCAAATCAGTCGATTCTAATACAACACTTTTTTTTAAGGGTAAAAGACCAAACTGTCCGAAACTTTGACACGTCACTCCTGATCATCTAAGAATTGTCCTGACACATTGAAAATTTGGATTTTTTAACAACATTTTTTAACTCAGCCCAGACCAGAACCAAAATGGCGTCGAGCTCTCATATTTCGATCAATATACAATTATCGAAGGCTCTGATATGAGAAACTAAAGGGTCAGGACAATTTTACGAGAATTTAGAACACTCTGGTAATCGATAAATTCGCATTTGAACGGGATAAAGGCAAAAAAGTGTTGTATGCGCTTCTATGCTAAAACGATGGTAATACGAGGTCTCGGAGTGAAAATTTAATTGACCTGGAAATCAGAGATGGTGCAGGGGGTCCCTCTGCAGTCAATTAGGGCCCCAGGAAGCACGAATCCGGAGGATTTCTGGAGTTTCACTTCGATTTCTTGATATTTATTGTACGAAAACGACAGTTGTAGCATGCCATTTGGTGCAATACCCAATATAATTCGACCCAGCTGTCGATATAAAAACCAACGTCGGCAACGTAGGCATTAAGAAAAATCTTCTTTATCGACGTCGATCAACTTCCTCGACGTGTTTCACTTCACCTTAATGGTCCCTTAGATTCGCCAGGCGGGAATTTGCATCCATTGGGCGGGGAGAGAAAGATTTTTTTAATAGGAATAAATGTGAACCAGGTGCGACCAGGTCGAGTGGAGTACATTGGCGAAGGCGAATGCATTCCTCCAGACGTGGGGCAGGCGGTGCACGAAGGGAGGACATTCGTGTCCAGAAATGTACCCTTGCCATTGTTGACGAACAGCCGAAACGATCTCTCTGCTCGCTAAGGAACGGCTCCGTTATGTCCCTCGACCTTAGGCCCTCTCGGGCACGACTTGGACACCCAATCGATCGCAATTAAAATGCGATTATGGCTCGATGCCTAAGTGCCCGGGCCTCGTGGCTTGTCGAGGCTCCTTTAACGACCCGCCGTCGTATGCGAGCGTCATTCGAATCGCGGCTAATTAATGCGCAACCGTTGCTCCCAGCCAATTTCGACGGCCGACTAAGTAGCCGAGTGCACTTGGCTCGGCCGGAATAATTACAATGTTTGTCGCCCGATTATTCACAGCCGAGTATTTTCTTTTCTTTTTTCTCTTTCCTTCTCGATCCGTGGAATCGCTCGACCACGATATCGCTAATATTAATATACAAGGAAGACGAGAAAATTCCCGACTTCGCGGTGAGGATGGTACAACTTGCAACATCGTGCGTAATGACATTTACTATTTTTTTTTTTGAGCACCTTGAGAGTCGATTTTTATTTTTAACGCCGCTTTTCGCATGCGTAACGACATTTGCCTTTTTTTTTTTGGACCACTGAGAGTCGATTTTTATTCTTAACGGCGCCTTACGCATGCATAACGACATTTGCCATCTTTTTTTTTTTGGACCACTTTGAGAGTCGATTTTTATTTTTAATGGCGCCTTTCGCATTCATAACGACATTTGCCATTTTTTTTTTAACACTTTGAGAGTCGATTTTTATTTTTAACGGCGCTTTTCGCATGCGTACCGACATTTGCCATTTTTTTTTGGACCACTTTGAGAGTCGATTTTTATTTTTAACGGCGCCTTTCGCATGCATAACGACATTTGCCATTTTTTTTTTACCACTTTGAAAGTCGATTTTTATTTTTAACAGCCCCTTTTGCATGCATAACGACATTTGCCATTTTTTTTGGAGCACTTTGAGAGTCGATTTTTATTTTTAACAGCCCCTTTTGCATGCATAACGACATTTGCCATTTTTTTTGGAGCACTTTGAGAGTCGATTTTTATTTTAAACGGCGCCTTTCGCATGCATAACGACATTTGCCATTTTTTTTTGGAGCACTTTGAGAGTCGATATTTATCTTTAACGGCGCCTTTTGCATGCATAACGACATTTGCCATTTTTTTTTGGAGCACTTTGAGAGTCGATTTTTATTTTTAACGGCGCCTTTCGCATGCACCGCGGGTTGTCGTTTAACGTTTGCAACGACAGCGTGTTCGTCGAGCCGATATATACGACAGATGCATTATTTCGCTGTCGCGACGAAGTTGCGGTAAGAATCGACAATTGGCACCGATCGGACGTTATGTCGTCCTGGTCTCCCATAAGGCGGCTCTTAACGATGCTGAATAAACGACGGCCCCGTTGCACCTTCGCAACCGGCGCATCGACGGCCCTGCATATTCATTCGCGGTTGCGACCAGAATACGCCTCCTCGGAGATCGTCATCTTTTTAACCGGGGATGAACGCGAACCGCCCCGCCGAGAGTGGCCGTCGATTCTTCAACGACGTCCCCGATAATTGATTGATAAGCGTGCGCGCGCATCCCGGTGCACCGGTATGAACGTCTAGTTTGAATAATTACCGGAAGAGTCGCGTCACTTTGGGCGCGGTATATTTCGGGAGATTAGGATCGATTATCGGCCCCTGCTTCGTGGTTTATACTTTTGGAACGCCCCACAGTGGAGGTGTCGAGACAATCGAGAGTCGATATCGAGGCATCGAGGTATCGGTGATATCGACGATCGACGAGACTCGCCGGAGAAGAGCTCGCAGGAATTCCCGACTCTCGCCAGGTCGAGGGTCGCAAAGGTTTTCGGGTCGGGAATCGAATTAACCCGAGGACACTTGCCGAACGATTGGATCGCTTATCCTCGCGGTCGATTTGTCCGCGACCTTCGATATCTCGAGGTTGGTCGCGACCTCGAGATCGCGAATCGCGAGACTTTACGGTCAAGGTGGAAAGCAGAAGGTTCAATGTACGGTCTTCGACGTCTTCTTCGGGGTTGATATTCCACCTTATTCGACTATTAATATCGATTTCGATCGCTTATAGCGATTTTAATATCTATCTCGAAAATATCGATATCGACTCGAGATCGTACCCCGACGACCTTATCACGAGGGTACAAGGTAGGAGGTTCGAAGTCGTGCCTTCGATAATTATTTTTAAGATCGACGCAATTCGATCGTTATCGACTTTGACGTAAATTTCGATAAGGCGCGAGAATTCGAGTCTTCACCTTGGTGACCTTAGGGGGTACCGACGAGGAAGGCGCAAGGAGGTCGGGATCTCTTGGCAACTGCTCCACATCGCGTCTTCGGCGTCCTCTTCGTAATCGGTAGGCGAGATGCGTAGCGATCGATCGATGAGAGGCCGATGGATCGGCAGGGTGGAGGGGGAGGGGGGGGAAGAGGCAGAAGAGGCAGAAGAGGAGGCCGAAGACGCGAGCTGGAACCCGAAGAAACGACGTTTCTTCGGGTTCTCTCCGTCGTAGCTGCGATCACGTATTTCTGAGGCGACGGAGTGAATGGACGATCGTCGTTGTCGGCCACTTATTGATGTCTCGCCGACCGCGCCATTTCGTATGCAGAACGAAAAACCTTCTGGGAATCTATCAGTCATTTATGACATACCCTGTGCGCCTTGAGGAGCCACGAGGGCCGATTCGTCAGGCCTCGATTCGGGCCCGAATGGGCTAAGATCGAACTATCGATTCCATTCATTTTCTCTATTATGAGTATCGAGTTCTTTCGTTCCCTATTTTTTTTTTGTCGCATCTCAACAATTATTATTTCACAACGAACGACGGATTCCACTCATTTTCTCTATAATGAATATCGAGTTCTGTCGTTCCCGATTTTTTTTGATCGCATCCACAATTATTATTTCACAGCGAACGATCGATTCCCTTAATTTTCTCTATTATGAGTATCGAGTTCTTTAGTCCTCCATTTATTTTTGTCGCATATCAACGATTTTTTTTATCGAATCTCAACGATTATTATTTTACAGCGAACGATCGATTACCGTAATTTTCTCTATAATGAATATCGAGTTCTTTCGTTCCCGACTTTTTTTGATCGCATCCACAATTATTATTTCACAGCGAACGATCGATTCCCTTAATTTTCTCTATAATGAATATCGAGTTCTGTCGTTCCCCATTTTTTTTTATCGCATATCAACGATTTTTTTTTTATCGCATCTCAACGTTTATTATTTCACAGCGAACGATCGATTCCCTTAATTTTCTCTATAATGAATTTCGAGTTCTGTCGTTCCCGATTTTTTTTTATCGCATCCACAATTATTATTTCACAGCCAACGATCGATTCCATTCATTTTTTCTATAATGAATATCGAGTTCTTTCGTTCCCGATGTTTTTTATCGCATCTCAACAATTATTATTTCACAGCGAACGATCGATTCCCTTGATTTACTTCATAATGAGTATCGCGTATAAGCTCTTCCTTTATTTATTTATTTANGAGGGGACCAGTGGGCCCTTCCGCCCTGGAGTCACCGCGGCCTGGCCTCGGCGTAGGAGGGCGACGCAATTGGGACCCCCCCTCACCGCCCTTTTATGGACTCCCTTGAGTCGAAGGTCACGGCGGGGTGTCCACGGCTACCGACAATGCGCCCTCCTCCCGCCATCAGTGAGGGGCCGGAAATCCGGGTATGGATATGGTAACCCAGCTACGCCGCCATGGGTCGGCCCTTGCCGTCAAGCGCGGAGTCGCGGGTGGCTCGGTTCGGCCCTACTCCGCGCGGCTCCGGCACCCATGGACGGCGGCGGGGCGAGGCCTGTCCGCCACCGTTGTCCTTTTCTGCGGTCCCTCGACAGCGCCCTTGTCCCGCAATGGATGTTATCTTCTTGCCCGCACTCGCCTCACCGCGAGGACGTCCTAACGTCTAAGCTATACACAACGTATAATACCAAAAAGAAATTGCAGGTAACGTGACGGGTATTCGAACTCCTCTCTTCCTCGGCTTTGAGTGCCGAGCGTGCTGAAATAAGACGTGGATGACACGATAAAATTAAAATATGATACCACTGCCTTCGGAAAGGAATTTAATGGTTTTCAGAATTATTGTTCAACATTCGGAGCCCTGGGGTGATCGCCCACCGGGTGTATCGTCACAATATATATATGTTTTTTTATTTTTTAATACAAAAAGGAATTTAATGGTTTTCAGAATTATTGTTCAACATTCGGAGCCCTGGGGTGATCGCCCACCGGGTGTATCGTCAAAATATATATATGTTTTTTTATTCTCAAGATAATGCCAGGAATAAAACGTTCCCAGACGATCGTTGAACTTCCGGTAGACTTATATACATTTTCCCTCGAGGAATTTCGAGAATGAAGTGTCGCGAGAGGATCAACGAGCCGGGGGGTCCTTTTCGGTGAACGGATCCGAACATGGAGGGCATCATTTCCGGAAATGGAGATCCTTGAAATAAATATCGACGCCGAATGGGATCGATCCTCGGCCCGGATTCTCTTCATGAAAGATTACACGGTCGTTCACTCTCGTACGATTCATGAAAACCGATCGACCGACCGATATAGTCCTGTTCCTCGCCCTGGCTCGGATAATTCACTCGCGGCCGTTTTGCGGGAGGACTCGATCGCACGTACGATCCTCCACGTCGGGGTCTCCGGGGATCGAGATCGAGATCTCGCGGTCGGGAAAAGAAGCCGATCTCTCGAAGCGCTTACTCGCTTCGCTAGCCTCGGAAATTGGACCGACCGCGAGCTCCTGGTGGAGAGACGTTCGTTGACCCGAAATCGAGGTCCAGGGCGAGGGAGGGAACCTCCCCGGAGCTTTCCAGGATCTATCCCGAAAGCTCTTGGGAAGGACATAAGATCAGGGACGTGATACCTTGTAAGGAGGGAAAACGTGTAGAATCGATGAAAGGCACCTTAAGGAACGCCTCGACCTCCGTCAGGACCTCTTCCAGGATGTAGAGAGACGTTGATCATTTTCCCGGAATTTTTTCTCACGGGGAATTTCTAGGTACGCGGCACCCTGTAACGTGAGGAAAATCGTGGAATTCGTTGTGGACACCTTATTATAATTTTCCCTAGAAATCCACTTATGAAAAGAAGAAAGAAAATATCAAATGAATATGTAAGGTCATGCAAGGCGAGGTAATTATGGGGTTGAAAGTACCTTAAACGTCGTTTTATTCTCGCCTCGACCTCTTTGAGGAGGTAAAAAAATCTCGTCAATTTTCCAGGATTCTCCCTAAAAATTTATTTAAATTGAAATTAGTCGATGTGAAACACTCCGCGGTGTGAGAAAAATGAATGGAACCGAAAACACCTTAAATGTCGTTTTCTCCTCGGGAACGACCCCGACCGCAAGGCGCACCTCCAGGTGTGACGATCATCGACCTGAGGCGATGACGCAATATCTGGATGATCGATGGGAAATGTTCTCACGTCTCATATCGAGTCTCTTTTTCCTCCCTCCACCTGCTCGGAACGAGCCGCGATTTGCGTTGCTTTCTGCGTCCCGTAATTTAGTTATGAGCTCGACAAGTAGCCTCACCGAGGCACAAAAGTTACCGGGAAATCATCGCGTGCTGGACAAGACCAAAAGACTATAAGCCGCCATTACCCGGGACAGCCTTGAATGTCTGATTAGGGAAAAGTTGCAGCGACTTCGGTTAAAATTTCAGACCTTTCAGTTCTCCAGCCCGTTGACAAACAGCAAAAGCACCGAGGTTTATATATACCTTTGATATCGGGGATCAATGATTCCAAGATGGCGGCGTTTCTGCACCCTCCGTGCATCGCTTCGGGTCGAAACCGTCGCGAAATTCAAACGGAATGATGATAAATATAAAAAATGTATATATCAGGGAGCAGAACGATTAGAAGGGTAAATTCTGACGTATGATATAGGCGACGTTGAATAATTATACAGTGGACATATATGCCTTTAATGTCGAGGATCAATTATTCCAAGATGGCGGCGTTTCTGCACCCTCCGTGCATCGCTTCGGGTCGAAACCGTCGCGAAATTCAAACGGAATGTTGATAAATATGAAAAATATATATATCAGGGAGCAGAACGATTCGGAGGGTAAATTCTGACGTATGATATAGGCGACGTTGAATAATTATACAGTGGATATATATGCCTTTAATGTCGAGGATCAATTATTCCAAGATGGCGGCGTTTCTGCGCCCTCCAGACATCGCTTCGCATTTAAACCGCCGCGAAATTTAAATATAATGATAATAAATGTGAGAAAAAAAATACATTAGGGAGCAGTACGATCCGGAGAGTAAATTCTCACGTATGAGCGACGTTGAAAAATTGTACACGGGATGAAACTGTTATTTCATTGAAATGTGCATCATTCGAGGGAGTCATTTCCTTCGAATCGGATATTCTTTCTTTTTTTATCATCTCCCTGAGGCCACTTATTGTAGATTCGGTTGACCGTTTTCGAGCTTCCGATTAAAATCGATCGCTCGACTCGGAGGGTTAAAGTCTCGCTTATAGTCGGCGATGTAGAGCCCGAAAGCCTACACGCGCACGGAAGTATCGGAGCGCAATCGAAAGTCTTTGAATTAATGATGTTGGAAAGGAAAGTGGATCCCGGTCTGGTCTCTGACGGTGCAGAAAAGGGCCACCTTCTCCTCGCAACTAGTTCACCTTTCCTGGGTCCTAATCGCAGTTTAAGTCGCGTTTAGATCGATTTAAATCGACTTAGCTCTGTCCGACAGGTCAGAGGGTTAAGCCTCTTCGTCCGTAGAAATTGCCGGTAAAACATGTGATTCCTAATTTTTTTTTTCTTCCCATTAATTTTTCCAGGCCCAGAGAACGGCCGCGTCTCGGCGGAGAGCGAGGACGAGGTCGGCGGCGAGAACGTCCCAGGAGCGGCGACTTCCGGTTCCGGCGGGAGCTCCAGCAGCAAAGCTCGTCGACGAAGGACGGCCTTCACCTCGGAACAACTCCTGGAGCTCGAGAGGGAATTCCATGCTAAGAAATACCTGAGCCTGACCGAACGCTCGCACATAGCGCACGCCCTGAAGCTGTCGGAGGTGCAGGTGAAGATCTGGTTCCAGAACCGGCGTGCCAAGTGGAAGAGGGTGAAGGCGGGTCTGACGACCTCGGGAGCGGGTTCGGCGAGCAGGAGCACCGGGGGCCAGCATCCCGGAGGAGGGCCCAGGATCGTGGTGCCGATCCCGGTGCACGTAAGTCGCCTGGCCGTGAGGTCTCACCATCATCACCTGGAGAAATGTCCGCCCTCGCAGAGCAACGGGGGACTGAGACCGACCTTGAACTCCGGGTCCTTGAGCGGGAGCCTAAGACTTCAGGGTGCGGCGATCCCATCGGCGGGGCAGGTGGCCGCCCTGGGGGGCCTCAGGGCGTTTTCGGCTCCCCAGCATGCCGGACCATCGGGGAGGTAGCTGGTGGACAGGAAGAATTAGTTCCCGAGAGGCAGATACGAGGTCCTCGAGAAGGGTGTTCTCCGATCCGCAGGGTGCAAAGACCTCGAAGAAGGTGTTCTCCAATCTGCGGCACAGAAAGCTGAAGAGAAGGCGGCTGATAGGAACTCTGCCGATACAGCGTGCGGCACCGATGCTCGTTTTGTAAGTACCAAAAGATGTAAGTACACCGAATGAAGCTTCCCAGGACCACGGTACCTGAAGAAGTACCTCGAGAGACTGGAAATTACGATCTGAGATTTATACGCCGTGCAATACAGCGGACATGAATTTTGAAGAGGAGTCTGGCCGAAGACGGGAGGACGATGGAAGTCCTGAAAGGGTCGAGAGGTAATCAAACGGTCCAGGGTGTGAATTAAGAATCAAAATGGTGACACGGCAGGAGCGAGTCGCGGACGGACGTTAATTTAACGAGATCGTTTTGATCCTCGAGCCGAGTCACCGACAGGGGGAATTAAGTCCCGAACAAAGGACGAAATCGGAATATATCCGGATGAGGCCGCACCCACGATCGGATGCCGGTGAAGGGCCGATGATCTCGCATAAGAGGATTGCCGGTCAAGATAATTTCGGAGGGAGTTTGGATGGAGGTGTCGATACGCCGGTTCCATCCACGAGACCCAGGAAGAGGCCTGTGAGGACTTCCTCGTCGAGGGAGCTAGTTAAAGGTCGACTTCGCGGGAAACCGACCAAGGTGCGAATTTGAGGATGAATAAGTCACTCGAAAATGAAAGGGTAGAGACATTACGTGCAGTTAGAGACTCGAGCCGCCTTAGGCACGATCGATCTAGAGTTTAAGTGAGCTTGTAAATAGTACTTGCGCGGTGCAGCTGCATCATGCATGTTTAAGCGCGAGTCGAAGGTGCACGAGATGGCGCACATGCGAGAGGAGACATGTAATATATTATATATATACATACATACGATATAGGCTCTCGAGGCTATATTAATGACCGATCTAATATATTGTCACAAGAGTAAGAGTAACGCGAAGACCTGTTATCGCGGTTACGATGTGCCAGGGGATGCATGTACGCATTACGTTTACCTATGGACGCGCAATAAAGAACTTTCCACTCGGAGACTCGAATCGTTATTGGCGAGCAGATTTGACCTGGACGCGAGTACGTCGATACCCCTGCCAGGGAGGTAGAGCTCCTCCGTGACTATAGACAAATAAATAAATAAACCGACTTCCTGGCACTCTTCCCGTCATTGCAGCGCAGGAGGCCCTCGGTCGCGAATTTCGACAATGGCGATATTTTGACAATGTGTCCCGACAGTCGGGCCACCCGGCCCACCTAGGTGTCGTCACTTTTGTCGGGCTCCTTTGACCCGGTGTTACCGTCCCATGGGACCCCGTGGCATCTCATGGGCGTGACGCAAATAAAGGCGACATATTGCCGGGCACGAGCATGCCAGGCTCCCGGGGAACGGCCGAGGTTTCCATACAAGAACTCGCCACGAGCTTCCCTGGAAATGGCACTTTGGCCAAAAGTCGGGATCCCGGTCGGCCCACTTTTCCGGGGGACCTCTTCTTTCCTCGACTCGACTAATTTGCCTGCCAAGGGGGTCGTATTAATGGCGGCCAGGTGGAGGAACTCGGGGTCGGATCTCGCCCATGGGGACCATGCCTTTGCACCCCGAATATCCACCCTGAAATTAATTCCGAAACCTCCAGGTGGCGATTAGGGTTCCTTGCCTCGTCTGCAAAAAGAGGAAGACTCAGACATTCTTAATTAACGGTTTACTTATACAGGAATCGTGTCATTTTACCCCAACGCCATCGTATCCTGTGTCCACATCTCGCCATATTCTCCTATAATTGCTATTAATAACGAAATGAAAAGAAAAAAAGACATACGAACCTGCCCCTAAGGGAGACAATTACATTTTTCTATTTTTCATATGCGTTTTGTATCCATTTTCTGATAATGCTCCGTCAAAGGAGTTGAATTTCCGTTTGTCGATTACCGGCGTCTGGACCGCGAGCGTCCGCCATGTTGGAATTTCGCGAGCGTCGAGGTTTCCCGACTCGCGGATCGCATAACATATTCCAGAATATTCCCGACACGGAGAGAGCCGCTCGTGGGTATACCTAACGTTACACTAATGTCTCATCGATCAAGTCGGTTAATGACCAGCAGTTATACGGTGTATATAAAAGCAGGAAGCATACCTCGGGGTCGGGGTAGTTATGCCGGGCACAATGGCGGAGCGGAGTGCATTACGGTTAATACACGAAGGACCGCGGTCGTTTAGCCGGCGATCTCGGCAGTTGCCGTTGCCGTCGGAGGGATAAATCATCTCCTGGTTGCGGCCACGCCCTACGGGAGACACCGAAATTCTCCCTTCCGGCATAACGTACAATCTCTCCGTACCAGGCCTAAAAGTGTCCTCCGATCCTTCCTATGCCGGACCCCTGCAAACGTATTTCATCAGATATCACTTTTACATCGCGGAGCTTACATATGTATTCTACGGCTAACCCTTTCAATACCATTCACCGTATGATCGCGTCCTTTACATAATCAATTTCCCTCGCTTGATACGCCTTTGATACCCGGTCCTCTTCAACCCGTGGGACGGAAGTCGGAATCTGGCCGATACGGTGTCGATGTTCTACGGTTTAATAATAGTATAGCGTCGAACCGGTATCATTTTCACCATGGTATAGATAACAGGAAGGATAGGCTCCTTACCCCTTAGCGTGATCTAAAAATCTAAAAATTAATTTATCGATTAATTCTTACGTTTCCATTACAAGCGAGACTAACCTCTTTTCTTTCTCTTTGTTATCGCCCCTTTTCTTTGTTGTGTAACAATGATATCTAGAGCAGACATCAATGGTACGGCATGGTCAACATTGAGGTTAGGTTCTGCATCCCTTATCGTGGTCTTCCAAAAACCTGAAGTTATGTACGTATTATGTAATCTACGTAATTTATGTGTGTAATCTAGAGCGGATATCGATGGACACGGCATGGTCAACATTGAGGTTAGGTTCTGCATCCCTTATCGTGGTCTTCCAAAAACCTGAAGTTACGTACGTATCTATGTAATCTACGTAATTTATGTGTGTAATCTAGAGCAAATATCCATAGACACGGCATGGTCAACATTGAGGTTAGGTTCTGCATCCCTTATCGTGGTCTTCCAAAAACCTGAAGTTATGTACGTATTATCTAATCTACGTAATTTATGTGTGTAGTCTAGAGCGGATATCCATGGACACGGCATGGTCAACATTGAGGTTAGGTTCTGCATCCCTTATCGTGGTCTTCTGAAAATCTGAAGTTACGTACGTATCTTTGTAATCTACGTAATTTATGTGTGTAATCTAGAGCAGATATCCATGGACACGGCATGGTTAACATTGAGGTTAGGTTCTGCATCCCTTATCGTGGTCTTCCAAAAACCTGAAGTTATGTACGTATTATGTAATCTACGTAATTTATGTGTGTAATCTAGAGCAGATATCCATGGACACGGCATGGTCAACATTGAGGTTAGGTTCTGCATCCCTTATCGTGGTCTTCTGAAAATCTGAAGTAAGGTACGGATGAATTGTTAAATGTTCGTTACACCTAACGCTAGATTTTCTTCGTCCCTCCTCACCCCTTTCTCTTCAGGGTGGAGTAGTGGTTACCGAAGCGACAAAGTCGGCTCCCTAAAAGCCTTTTAGCCGACACGTGTCGCATTCCGCGGATGTGGGAAGCAATGGACGCAATGGACGCGTGTCGCGACACGGATCGGGTGGACCTTAGCGCGAACAATCGACAATGGGCACGAGCGACCGATGCCCCGAATCCTGGGACACTTATATACAGGAGGAACGAGTCCTGGACCGGACACAATGAGATTCCTCGAGGAAGCCCTCCACAATGAGGGACTCCCGGGTATCGGGGAAGAAGTCGCCGCGTCCGAAAGTTCTCCCGTATAAAGAGGTACAACAACCACATACCAAAATGCCATTATCCTTCCTCTGGAGCCCCTCCTGGCAGGACACAATGACAACGGGCGATTTGTCATCGAAGACAACCGACCACCCAGCGCTCCCGATTTGTCGCATGTCCTTTCGACTCTTGGAAGCGGTCCATTTTTATATTTCTCCATTTTCTCCCCCTAGGATCGATCTGGAAGTAGCGAGTTGCGGGATACGAGCTTTTTATCGAGGTATTAAGATACGGTGCGTCCGTGTACTTACATCGAGGTACTTACAAGGAAGGTATCCCAGGTCGATCTCCCCGATTTCATTTCTTTAATAATATGTCATAGTAGACTAAAAACTAAGCGACACGTATTTTTTTATATCCGCCGTTATACACTTTAAGGGGGTGAGACCATCATCCAAAGTAAGGCCTGTGAGGGGTGGCTCACTCCTGAATTTTTTTTTCCTTTGAATTCAAAAAATTATAACTCATTTCTCGTTATGAGAAAGCTTTTCCAGGTGGATTGGTTAAGAAATATTATCCGCCATTATACACTTTAAGGGGGTGAGACCACCATCCAAAGTAAGGCCTGTGAGGGGTGGCTCACCCCTTAATTTTTTTGCTTTTAATTCGACAAAATTATATCTTTCATTTCTCGTTATAAGGAAGCTTTTCCAGGTGGATTGGTTAAGAAATATTATCCGCCATTATACACTTTAAGGGGGTGAGACCACCATCCAAAGTAAGACCTGTGAGGGGTGGCTCGCCCCTTAATTCTTTTTTCCTTTTAATTCAAAAAATTATATCTTTCATTTCTCGTTATGAGGAAGCTTTTCCAGGTGGATTGGTTAAGAAATATTATGTTCTTGTGGGGGAAACTGCCAAATCGCCCCTTGACATGCCTTACTTTGGATGGTGGTTTCACCCCCTTAAAGTGTTTAATGGCGGATGAAAAAAAATACGGATCGCTTAGTTTTTAGTCTACTATAACATATTATAAAAGAAATGAAATCGGAGAGATCGACCTGGGATACCTTCCATGTTAGAGGTAAAATCTCGTCGCATAGCCGTCTCTTGGAAAGTGAGGTTAGGAGGGCCCTGGATGGTATTAATTGTCCTTTTATTTTTATCCGCGTCGCTATTGCGTTCACGTTTGTTATTAGGTGGCATTACGTGGGAAATGTTAAGATGGAAAAGCTCGTAAACATGTTTTTCCTCGATTAGAGTCGAAATCAGAGACGCGGCCTCGCGGGGAGGAGCGTCACTCGGGGGACCCTTATTTTCCACGATCCTTTCAGTCACAGCAGGGCAGTTGGCCATCAGGGTCGCATTCGACTCGCTCTCGAGCTCCCGTTTGCGCAATTTCACGGCCACTTCGGCCAGAGATCGAGGAAATCGCCGA